ATCCCTGCTTCGTTGAAAACTACATCTCGACTGGTGATACACCTCTTGTGACCTGGCTCTAGGCATCATAGCCTGTAAGCTTTGACTCCTTCAGGGTATTCCATGAACATGCATTTCAGAGCTTTAGGTTTGACCTTGTCTTGCCTAATATGAGCATAGGCCACACAGCCAAATACTCTCAGTTTGTCGAGACTAGGTGGATGTCCCGACTAAACTTCTTCAGGTGTCTTCATTCCCAAGGCAGTCGAGGGACATCTATTTATCAGGTAAGCTGCTGTCAAAATAGCTTCTGCCCAAAATACCTTCTTCAATCCAGCACTAACCAACATGCATCTAGCCCTTTCAAAGATTATTCGATTGAATCTCTCAGCTAAGCCATTTTGTTGCTACAATCACATGCCTTGCAATCCTAGACTCAACACAGTAACTGTCGAATGCTTTGTTGCAGAATTCAAGGCCATTGTCGATTCTCAATCTCTTAACCTTTCTGCCAGTTTGAGTTTCGACCAGAATCTTCTAACTTTTGAAATTCTCAAAAGTTTCATCCTTCGTCTTCTGAACGAATACCCATAGCTTTCTGGAATAGTCATCAATGATGGATAGAAAATATCTTGCACCTGAGTGTGAAGGATTCCTTGCAGACCCCCAAAGATCAGCATGAATGTAATCCAGGGATTCATGTATTATTTGCTTGCCTTTGTTAAACTTTGTCCTACAGGATTTACCAAATACGCAAGATTCACAAAACTCCAAATTTTCGACTTTGTCACCTCCTAGCAAGTTCTGCTTCCCCAATTCGACCAGGCTTCTTTCACTGACATGACCCAATCTCATGTGCCATAATTCTGTCTTCGACACAGGTTTTGTGGATGCAACATTTGTCGAACCACTTACAACCTCATCCTCAAGGATATACAATCCTTACTTCTTCACGCCTCTCAAGACTTCCTTCGACCCCTTCATGACTCTTAGGATACTTTTCTCTCCTTGAAAAACATATCCCTTTCTGTCAAATTCACCAAGAGAAATCAAATTTCTCTTCAAGTCAAGTACATACTTGACTTCGGTTAATAACCTTATTAACTCATCATAGAGCTTGAATCTCACATATCTAATACCTGCAAATTTGCAAGATTTGTTGTTTCCTAACAGTACAAATCCACCATCTTGATTACATAGCTCCTCGAACAATTCTGTGTTTTGAGTCATGTACCAAGTGCAACCTGAATCCATAATCCACTCTCTTCTCGAGTCGCCAGTTGAAACCACAAGAACATCAGATGATTCGAAGTCATCTTGAAAAATGGATGTGTTGCCATTACATCCATGATATTTTAGGCGTTCGGGCACACCTTTCTTGTGACCCTCCTTCTTATAGTGATAACATCGAATAATAGGTGTTTCGCCACTACAATATTTATGTTGACTTTTACCTCTCTTCTTGTCGAACTTACCATCCTTTCGCAAGAATTTTCCCTTAACGGCCAAACCTTCACCCACCGTCGAAGATTTATGCTTCTTTCGTTCGTTCAAGTCCTTAGAATACAAGGCCGATTGAACTTCTTCAAAGGTCAGAGACTCCCTTCCATACAAGAGAGTTTCTTTGAAGTGAGCATGTGTTCTGGGCAAAGCACACAACAATAACAGTGTTTGATCTTCATCATCGATCTTCACATCAATATTTTCATCATCGATCTTGAATGAATACAAAGCTTGCTTCAGGTAGAGTCGATTCACCAGAGATTTGGTCATGTACAAACTTTCAAGTTTCACCCATAATCCAGATGATGTAGTCTCCTTTGATACCTCTCAAAGAACCTTATCACCAAGGCTCAATAATATTGCGTTGTGGGCTTTCTCAATCATGCCCATATTTTCTTTTGATGTTAATGCAGCATCCATGACTGCCTCTCCCTTCAACGCTCCCAAACAACCCTGTTGAACCAGTAGGGCTTTTATTTTCAAGCGCCACAGACCGAAGTTGTTCACTCTAGTGAACTTTTCAATCTCATACTTTGTTGAAGGAATCTTCTCCACGCTCACCGCACCAATTTTTTGTGAATCAGATGTCTTTAAACAAAGTATAAAATGTTTCTTTGTGATCAAGAAACACACAAGGGTTAGGGTTAACAAATAAAACAAGATAAAAACAATAAGGAACAACAAGGATTGGTTATAAACTGTTATTCTTTCCTTTCTCTTAGAAACAAGATTACAAGTATACAAGAATACAAAATAACCTCTCTTGAAATTAAGATTTTATCTTCCTATTTTTCCTTATGCCAAGATTGAGAAACTATCATCCTATTTATAAGAAAAATAGCACACTAACCTAATGGGCTTTTTAACAATTACCCATTACAAGCTAACTTAAATAATTGGGCTTACAAGTAAGACCCAATTCAACATGCTAAAAACCCTAGCAATATTGACTAATGCATGTTATAACAAACTTCGACTACAACACGCATTACTCCGACAGCAGCATGCGAACATACTTCGACCTCATGCTTAATTTTTGTCGAACCAGAAGCTACCCTTCAACCATACTAGAGTTCGATCCAACATCTCACAAAATTTGTTGCTATCTTTTTAGCAATGTGTCAATTAGACTTGCTTGATAGATTGAATAAGATCAAACCTAATTATTTGGAGATTTAAATTTGAATCAAAACAAATCAAATCTTTTTGTTGGAGCTTTTTGAAAAATAAATCAAAATTGAATCCTCTATAAATCTGGACGTGATAAAATCTTATGCCTATTGGAGAAAAGTCCATAAGTTGCATTGCTATTTAAGGAGCTTGAGACCTAACATTTGAAGTGAGCACATATATTGAAGATCCAATGTGCTAGAGTTTGGTTCTTTGAGTCTTTGAAATTTGTTGTGTTTTGTACACCTTTATAAGAAATCTAAACTTAATATTCAAGGCATATATGTTGATTATTAGTTTAGTTGTGATTCACAATCCTTAAATTGTTTATTATATTGATCATTATGGTCAGTGGCTGATAAATAATGAGAGGGATTCTCATATTTAGGGGTACTCATAAATAGAAAGATAATGGTAGTATTAAGAAGAGGGGCATTGAATAAGGGTTGTTCATCTAAGACACTTTATACTAATATTATTGAGAGTGGATTTCCTTTTTTGGGTTGGAAGCCCCCTAGATGTAGGTGTTGTTGCACTGAACCGGGTTAACAATTCTCTTTGCTTTATGATTTATCATTATGTTTTCTATTATTTATAAATTTTGGTATAAGATGTTGAACACATTGACTTAGGCATCTGGTCCAATATCTTTCCCTGAGCTTGAACAAAATTTCAAATACATTTTGGGATCACGCAATTCATTGTAACGAGCTTTCAGGCTTCAAATACCAACATGAACTTGTTAGGGATGTCCTATTTGATATATTTCGGTCGGGCAGAGTATCTATGAAGAAAAAGACACCTGTGTATTTCTTGACTGACGCATATGAGGAGAGTTCGACAATTAGGCTAGGAGATGTTCTGATGTACGGTTAGGTAAGAAGGAGACATGTATGTGTGAACTTGACCGAGATTTCTTCACTAACATTACTAAGGACTAGAGATTTTGTTGTGGAACAAACAACCCTTAAAACCACTTCAAGTAAAGTGATCAAATATGAGAAATCGTGTTCCGACAATCAACATGTTTTTATACTATTTGTCATTGACATATGAATATCAATATTATATCTTCTAAGTCAATGAATATAATTTTAAAAAGATTGATTTTGCCTTTTAAAAAGGGACAACGACGCATATTGTTGTCGTTTTGCCTTTTATTTATATATAATGGAAGTGTATTTAGAGGTATTTTTATTTGGAAACTTGTTAAGTTGGTTTTCTGATTCTAGGTTCTTTTCCCTGTTTACTTTCTTATGTTAATCCCTCCATTCTTTAAAAAAATAAAATAGTATGTCTTATATGACCGAGTCAGTTCATGTTGTTATGCTATCTTTGAAATTGAAGATTATCCAAGTATATAAAGATAGTTGCACACTGTTTTTACTCGTCCCGTCTCCGTTTGAGGCTTGGGTAAAGATCCTAGGACCAGTAACAACATTTTTCTTATTAATTTTATAGACATTAAGACATCGCAACCATAGATTTTGAAAGTAGTTCTTAAATGCAATCACAAATACAACAATTAACAAATATTGGCCAATTGTATTGTCAGAATCATTGACCACAAGTAGCATGTATAGGGCTGACAATGAACCGAACCAACTCGAAAATAGTTCGAAATTCGATTCGACAATTAGATCGTTGAACTGGGTTCATGAACCTAATGAGTTGAGTATGAGCGAAAAATTAAGTTCGTTAACTAAATGAGCTGAACTTGAACTCTACATAGTTCGACTCGTTAGGTTCATGAGTTAACTCGATTACATATGAGAATAATTATACTGTCTTTAAGATTAGGTTTAAATATTTAATCTAAATCTTAGACAAATTTAATCTTCAACTTAGTAGTTTTTGAATTAGACTCTCAAATGCATCTCTTGAAAGTTGTGTAAGTTTTGAATTAGTAGATTTCGAAAATAAAGTTAAATTTCAATATGATAATTTTTATTTTATTTTAATATTTTATTTTAAAAAAAATATATTTATTTAAAATGTCAAATATACTAAAATATATATATATTAAAAAAAATAGTTTTTAAGCCCGTGAATCATGTGAGCTGATCCTAATGAGTTGAACCAAACTGTTCGTGAACTTATAACAAGTCGAGTTTGAACTTAAAAAAAAGTTCGTGTTGAACTCGAACTCGAACTCGAAACAATTCATAACGAGTCGAGTTTGAGCTTAAAAAAAAGTTCGTGTTGAACTCGAACTCGAACTCGAAAAATTCTTAATGAGTCGAGCCGAGCTGAGGTGAGTTCGACTCGACTCGACTCATTTCCAGCCCTAAACATGTATAAATTGATGCTCAATCATTTCCAAAACAAACACAATATTTACACACAAAATGAAGAGCACAATCCTAGCAGTTCTCCTTCTCTGTGCCTTATCCTCACAACCACTACTTGGATCAGCTGAAGCTTCACCCGATGAAGTCCTCGACACATTGGGAAATAAGCTTCGAGCTGATGCCAATTACTACATCATTCCCACGGAGACATTTACCATATGTGGCTTTGTTAGTTGTTTCAATACTAGCGGAGGCGTTGCCCTTGAAGCTACCGGTGAATCTTGCCCTCTTGATGTAGTAGTTGTGAAACAAAATCCAGGATTACCGTTGAGGTTCACACCCGTTAACAACAAGAAAGGCGTTATTCGTGTTTCTACTGATCTCAACGTAATGTTCTCTAATGAAGCTTATGATTCTAGATGTCCTCACCATTCCTTAGTGTGGAAGATTGATCCTTTTTCCAAGGAAGAAACATTTGTGACCACGAATGGTGCATTGGGCAACCCGGGTTCGCAAACAATCGGAAATTGGTTCAAGATTGAGAAGTACGATGATGCTTATAAGTTGGTCTATTGTCCCAATGTATGTCCTTCTTGCAAGCATGCATGCAAAGATATTGGGTATTATGTGTATAAGACTAGGGAAATGCGTTTGGCTTTCACTATTGTTCCATTCAAAGTTAAGTTTCAAAAAACTCATAATTAAGCTATTCCAATGTAACAGATTATAAGTGTGTTTATAAGGATGATGGAGTTTGATTTTCCTTGTGAAGAATAAAATTATATAAATGAATAAAATTCATCAATCTATACTTTTCTCCATCTATTGCAACTTTATTTTTTATTTGTATACATTATTTATATCTCTTATCATAAGTATTGAGATTAATTTTTCGAATTAGTTCGGATCATAAGAGTAGAAAAACTATTTCTAATGAGTTTAAATCTTGTTGAGGAAGTTAGTTTAGCTAACTGATAGTTCATTGGGTTAGTTAAAAGTTTGTTAGAAAGTTAGTCCTAATGAGCAAGTTAGTTATCCTACTAGGTTAACTATAAATATAATAGTTCAACTCTCTTTGAAATCAATAAATAGAAATGATTGAATGAATTATGTGGTAGACTGTTCTCTTTAAGACGATTATGTGTTGTTTAAAATTGTACAAATAGACTATCAACCACGAAGTCCTCAATATAAAACAACCAAGTCAAATTTTACGATATCCTAATGCATTGTAAGCACCGTCTAAAATACTCCCTCAAATAGTGGTTATAGGACCACTCGTAATAAATAAATTGAAAGGCAATTAATTATCTCAATAGAATTTCAAGAAATATTTGAATGCCTCAATAAATGAGAAGTAGGGGATCCGAATATTCAAAGAGCACAAAAGAGAATGGAGAGAAAAACTACAAAGTTTCGGTGTGATTGAAATGTGCTTAAAGTATCTATTTATAATTTAAAAAAATGGGAGACTTGAAAGATGTGAAAGATTTATTTAGAAGTCTCCATTTATAATAAACACAATAAACATTTGAAAGATGTGAAAGTTGTCCAGCTGAAGACTCATAGAATTTTATTTTTCAATTCAATACCCACTCCATATACTTTGGAAAATGTACCAACATTAATACTTAGACATTAAATTCTCCAACAATTCCACAAGATTTCATATGGAGTGTAATAAATTGTTTCTATAAAGTAGTACATCTAGAAAGGTATCAATAGATTTGAACCTTAACATGATGAATAATGTAATATCAGAGATTGAATAGGGCGGGAAATGATTGTAACACCCGAAATCGAAAAAGACAGAGAGTGGTCGTCCGAATTCACATTAGAATGAGAAGATCTTGATGTTGTGTATGTATGTGATTGCATGGTTGAAAAAAATTTATAAAAATTAATTGGTACTACCTATACCAACAAGATACATCTTATTTTTAATAGTCTAATAAATAAGAACTTCATAGTTAAGCGTGCTTGACTTAGAGTAATTTTTGGATGAGTGGGCTTCTGAAAAGTTTCTTAGAAATCATGTGACTAAGGAAAAAACATGATGAAAAGACTCGTGTTGGATTTTTCGGGTCAGTCGATAATATTGAAAGCAGTATGAGACGTTATAAATGGTATCATAACATACTTCTCCTAGTACAATGTGATTCGGGGGCGAACTAAGCGGAAGCTGATGGGCATTTAACACCTGAGGTCAAAAATGGAGGGGAGTAGTTGTAACACCCGAAGTCGGAAAGGGCAGGGAGTGGTTGTCCGAATTCACATCTTCTTTTCAGTAACCTAATAAATAAGAACTTCATAGTTAAGCGTTCTTGACTTGGAATAATATTTGGTTGAGTGACCTTTTGGAAAGTTTCTCGAAAAACATGTGAGTGAGGATAAAACATGTTAAAAAGATTTGTGTGGTTTGTGGGATCATTCGGTAATTCTAAAAGTAGTCTTGAGACGTTACAAGTAAGATTCAAATTTAACAAGAGTGATTGTTGCATTGAACTCTATCTTGGGCATTAAACTTTCAACTTTTTCTTAGCTTGAGATTCCATAGGAAGTGGTTTCACTTCCACATTCACAAAGTTGAGTCCATCAACAAAAAACTTTTGTATTTAGGTACTCCACTTCATATTGAGTATAAATCTCACTATTTTTTTTTTGGAGTTTGGAGGGGAGAGGAAGGGAATGTTGAAGTTGGTAGTTATGATACTAGAGTTTGTTTGAAGTCACGTGTTGCTTAGGTTCCTAGGTTGTAAGGTGTATATATATGTGAGGGCAACCTCGCCCTTTAAGCTAACTTTTGGATTTGAGATTCAAATATATTTAATATGATATTAGATTTGGATTAAGAACTGAAATGTGAGCATTTGACCCAGACCCACGCTAGGCGTGAGGATGAGTGCTAAAATTGATAGTTGTGATATTGAAGTCTGTTTGAAGTCTTACATTGCTTAGATTCTCGAGCTGTTGGGTGTATAAATATCTGAGGGCGCCTTACCCTTTGAGCTAGTTTTTGAGGTTGAGATCCAAACATATCTAATAAGGAAGACTTCTGAAAACGAATTTTAAATAAAAAAGAAAAATATTTGACATTCTTTTATTGAATAAATTTGTATAAAATGATAAAAGAGTATTGATCATTACTATATTTTTAATTTTTAAAATATCATAACATAAAATATTTTTAAAAAATTTATGCAAACCCTCTAAAACTCTCCTTCAATATTTTTGGTGTTATGAATAAAAACAAACTCTCATGGCCAAAATATTTCAATTATTTTTCATTCAATTCTTCCATTTTCTGAAAGTTCTCCCCTCCCTTCCTCTGTAAGCTATTGATCTATTGTCAAAACTCTCTAAACTATTGATCTATTGTCAAAAGTCTCATCCTTTTAAATGTATTTTGAATATTTTCTCTAACTAATCATTTCATTAAAGGGTCATTTATTTTTTCATCCCTGCTTACACGATCCACTATAATAACTCACATATAAAAGGAACTCTCTAATAGTGTTGTGCTTAAGGAGAATTTATGCTTATTCTAAGTGAGTAGAACTATAGAACATTGAGAGAGGTTATCAACTGCAAATAACTCACCAGAAAAAAAGTTCTCGGGTGACCAGAGAACAGATTTGGTCACGGGAACGGGAAGATTCCTCCCGCCTCCACCCCACTACGTGTGTATGGTCTCATTCTATATGGTCTCATTCTATATCTGTGTGTGTATGGTCTCATTCTATATCTAAGACACAGGTAAAAACATGCGGTTTCAAATTTTCAATTAAAATTGAAGTGTGTTCATAACCAGCTCAAGATTTAGTGTGTGTTTGCGTGAAGGTTTACTAATTTAACGTGAGTTTAAACAGAAGCTTCAGCTAGTAGTTTCATTCTAATCATGCTATTATAGCATCCATAATGCATTTCTAAACAGACAGTTAGACTATTAAATTCCTAATTATATGTCTACAACCAAACAAACAAATATGTATTATTCATTTTTATGAGTTTTTATGTCAAAAATGTTGACAAAATACCTCAATCACCAAGTATGTGAAAGCTGCTTCAAATTTGGCGTCCCTTAGTTGCAAACCGGTTTGTTTATTTCATTTCATCCTTAGCTTGTCGTATTGCCTCCCCATGATTTCCAATACAATCAATTCATGTTAACATAGCTAACTAGACGTGGGGAATTGGATGTTGTATTATTTAACAAAGAAATTTTATGAGTTGGCCAAAATCATTGACTTTGATTCTTATTTTTTTAATATATAAATATCAATTGAATCCATAGTTTTAGATCACATCATTATCTATAAATTGAGTCCTACATCCTTTCTAAACTCCCATCAATACAAACATACTTGAAGCTAAGATTACAAGTTAACAATGAAATCTATATTTCTAACATTTGTGATTCTCTTTGGCTTGTCCACCCAGCCCTTGTTCGGGAAGGCTGATGCTTCGCCTGAGCAAGTGGTTGACATAGAAGGCAACAAGGTTCGGGTCGGAGTAGACTACTACATCCGACCCGTCCCAACAACCCCGTGCAATGGACGCGGGCCTTGTGTCGTTGGCAGTGGTTTTGTTCTTGTAGCAAGATCACCAAACGAGACATGTCCACTTAATGTTGTAGTGGTCGAGGGTTTTCGTGGTCAAGGAGTAACATTTACACCGGTTAACCCTAAGAAAGGTGTTATTAGGGTTTCCACTGATCTCAACATTAAAACTTCCATTGAAACAGTGTGTGAAGAGTCCACAGTATGGACGCTTGATAATTTTGATTCTTCATCCGGACAATGGTTTGTGACTACTGGTGGGGTTGTCGGAAATCCTGGTAAAGACACCATTAGCAATTGGTTCAAGATTGAGAGGTATGAAGATGACTATAAGCTTGTGTTTTGCCCTACTGTATGCAACTTTTGCAAGCCCTTGTGCAGAAATGTTGGAGTCTTTAGGGATAGTAATGGGAATCAACGTGTTGCTCTCACTGATGTGCCTTACAAAGTTAGGTTCCAACCATCTGCTTGAAGCATTCTCAATACATGAACAAATTGTTTAATATATACTCTTCACTTTTACAATACTGATAATGTAAAGTGAATAGCATCATGAAGGAATAAAATCAATTCAACATGTTTATGGTAAAAATATTTTCATATGAATAAAATGCATATTTTCCTGTTAGAATCTGATATAAAGAAGTTATACTTTATTTTATTTTATTTTGGGTACAGAATGAAATGCTCACAACTTTTCAAGACTCTTATTGAGGAAGACAACTTAACAATCACCATACTAATAAAAGAAAAGCTCTAGTTACTAAAAATGAAAGTATCACTTGATAATTACTATGTCTACCCACCTAAAGTATCAAAGCTATTTTGTTCTCCAAACATATGTAATGAAGTGTTTCGATAGTGGATGGTGGTCTATGGCGGAGCACCAACATCCCGCAATAACGCCGGACATATAGTGATGTGGCGCCGCCATCCTTCACATATTTAGCTGTGGTGAAGAGCCTAAAACCTACCACGGAAATCGACCTATGTTTAAGAATGCCTGCAAAGTCACTCTTTTAATACCAAAATCCAGTGTTATTAGTCGAATCAGACTCTCATCACTTGCTTTTGTTCATATTTCTCTTCATCTCAACTCACCCAAGGAGACTTAAATCTTAACCCTTTTGATCCATTAACCCATAATGTTAGCATTAATACCACGAAACCCTTGTTGGTTTATGTTTGAAACCATTGGTCAATCTCTCCATCACCTTTTAACTTCAATTATATCTTCACTTTCAGTTTCATCACCATCTCACCTCTCTCAGGTTTCATTACCTCTGCCACTCTTTTTCTTGCTATGATGGCGGGTGTCATGAAAACAAAATTTCACCCGAGCTCAAATTTCAAAGGTGCACATATCCATCATCACACCCCTAACGGTTTTTCAATATCCCATTCACAAAACAAAGTAAGATTATACACAGATTTAGATTCTTTGCATTCACGCAATCATCAATCTGAATAGTTCTGTCAAGATCAAACAACTGATGTTCTGATGGGATCCTCTAATGTTCATCTAACAGTTTAAATTGTAAGGTTGCAATAAATGTGTGATTACTAATTTCACAGATTCCGAATCTGATTATGCACAGTGCCACAATTCATAGATATATGGTGACATGAATGATATGGTGAAAACAATGGCAATCATAATAAATCTCGCTGCATTTCTATCAGAAATGAAATGTATATGGGTGCATGCTCCACGAACAGACTATACCATCTAACATATGGGGGAAGCAGTATATGCATTTTTCAGTGAACCTCAAAAAAGTGATTATTTGAACAAGCCATCTGCTTAGTTCACAGGCCTGGGAGGCAAGAGACTGTGGCTTCCCACCCCACAAAGTTTGAATGCAATGTAAAAACTATGTGCACAAAAAGCAAAAAAAAATTCAATTCATATTCAGTTTCTCAAACTATAATATACCATTTTGGTAACATGAATCATATGGTGCGAGAGAAAACAACGCCAATCATAACAAATCTCATTGCATTTCTATCAGAAATGAAAATAAAAATATAAACTATATATTGATCATTCTCCAAATTAAGTTGTTCCTATTGTAAAATACACTCAATTCTAATAAAAAAAATTATCCAAAAACATTCACATAAGTGATCCTTGAATGGAAGAAATCGAATATTACCATTACCATTTGGTATGCAACAAACCTTTAGTTTGAGGGGAAGGAAAATATAGGTCTAATCAAATCTTAGAAAAGTAAGGCAAAAAAGTAAATAGCGACATGTTCTATTTAATCAACAAAATTTAATCGGCTTTAATCTGCTAAACATCCCATGGAAAAACAAACTGAATAGTAGTAGGGGGAAAAACACAAGTCCTAAATGAAACAAATATTTGATTTTGTTTCCATTCAACAATTTGCACAAATGTAAATCAATAACTCAAAGGAATCTCATAAAACTGAGAACCACAAAAACTTGAAAAAAAAATACCTCAGACACCGTTTGATCTTTAAACAACCCCCACTCCCAGTTCTCTTTCTGACATTGAACTAGTTCTTAGCCTTGAGAGAGTTATTCTCCTTGATCCTAGCTCGATTATCGAGCTTAACATAACGTTTAAGGTCTTCATAAGGGAGTGTATCAATATCCTTCCTACGTAACTCACTTAGTGCAGGGCGCTTATCAAGCAGATGCCACAACCAATCAGGGTATTCAGAGTCAGGCAGGATTTTTGGATCAGTTCCTTCCTTGAGAATGTTGCCACCTACAACAGTGCTTGCCTTGACTTCTTTGCTGAGAGAAGACGCTTTGGGTCCATCGGCAGCTGCACCCCCTTTTGATCCCTTCTTTGCTTTACCAGTCGCATAAGTTCGTTGATATGCAACCGCAACTGCTTCTTTGGTGCTAAGAATGCATCTAACAGACCTTACACGGTTCATTGCCATGACTTTCTTCTGAAACACAAGTTTATATCACTTCAGGAAAGAACATAAACTAAATATAAAAACAACTCAGTATCTATGAAGTATGGACACCGGAAACACTACACCGACACCTCGACTCTGATAATAATTTGAGAAATATAAATAAATTAAATGTAATCACAAATGTGGATGTTCGGACACACAAAAAGGTTATAGAGTAGTTATGGTTGCAAACTTCAAAATTTTAATACAATGAAGGATGAATAAAAATCTAGAATTTTTCTGAAATTGAAGTAATGGTAAAATCTAGGTTTACTTAAACCTAATTATCAGGTATTTCCACGCGCACACGAATTCTCTATAGGTAAATTAAAATTAAGACTATGAATATCGTGAGCTTATAGAGAAATTTGAATTCTGACCTAAATTAAAAATGAGCGGCGATAAATCGCGGTGGACAGAGTTTCTCACCGTATGTAGTTGCTGACGACGAACTCTGGAAGCGTTGATATGAGTGCTGCCACTCCAACTTCTTGTTTATGATACAACAGGGGTGGAACGACGGTGGCTGCATTTGGCAGTTTATTGTTTAGGTTTTTTATTTTTTATTTTTTTATTTAATTGTAATTGATTATGTGTTAGATAAAGTCATAAAATGAAAGAATTGATTAATTAATATCCTAATCAATTAGGACGAAAATGAAGGTAGAAAAACACTTGGGTTGAATAATGGTTTTAAAACGATTTAGTTGATAGAAAAATAACACAGTATTTTTATCCTGATTCGTTTGAACTCAAATTAATCCAGTCCACCCTACTAAGGCGATTTGTCTTTCTCAACAAGAACTTAATCCACTATATCAAACTTGATTACAGTGTAAACCACTAAGACAACTTGTCTTAGTCTTCTCAAGAAATTCTGGCCACAACTTGGTCTTCTTAAGGAAATCTTTTACAAAGATAAACTAACAATTTGTGTTAAAGATGTGCTTCTAAAAAGCTATATCACAACAGTGATTTTTACACAAGTTTAAAGAACGGATAAGACTATTCTAGCTTGAAGAATGAGTACTTTGAATAATTTGTCAATAGTTTGTTTGAAGTTCGTTAACCTTTGAAGTGATGTTGAGACTTGCTTTTATAGTACTTTGAAATCCTTTTCTCAAAGACTGTGCAATCTGTGCATTCTGTTCTTTTTGTCTTCTCTTAACTTTTCTTTTCTCAGAAAAGGAATGTTCAGACAAATCCTTTTTGTCTGAAATCCTGTGTCAACCACAAATAAGGAAAGAGCCGTTTAGGATAATGCTAAAGAATATGCCAATGGATATTTATTTGAACAACATCTTCTTCAACAACTTTGGAACGCCTTGCATCAGAACTTCTGATGATGTTCCTAGTTGTTCAGGTCAGAGTTAACTCAATCAGAGTTTCTCTATCAGAGTTTGCAGCCAAGTGCTTTAAGTGTGAGATTCTTATCAGAGCATACTTGCTTATCAGAACTTCTATACTTGCAGCGTTGAGTACTTCCTGAGTCTTCTAAAGCTTTACGTATGTTCTTCACTCAAGTTCTTCTTAGCTTTGCTCAGAGTCATTGTAGCAGATCAGCGTCTTCTGATGACTTGCTTCTGACGCTCAGAGCTTTCTCGTTCTTTAATGTTCAAAGGCGTTCTTGCATCCAGAATAATGTTAATTTTGATATCTGAAAAGAAATAAACACTTGAACAAAATTAGTGTATATAAATTCTCTATACAAAATTTCATTAATGTTATCATCAAAACTATGAGATATATTAAATATCAATCTGTGTTCTAACAATCTCTCCCTTTTTGATGATGACAAAAACTATGAGAAATTTTGTTTAAAAATAGAAAAGAAATATCACTCCCCCTAAAAATATTAATCTACCCCTGAAATGAATACTTCTGAAAAGATTAAATACTTCTCTTTCAGCTTCTGTATTCTTTTCAGCTTTAGAGGAAACTTATAGATTCTCAGACTTTTGGTTCAGAGTTAATTCTTAGGATTTATCAAATGAAAATTATTAGCTCTGAAACACTCAAAAAATGATTAGATGGAAATTATCATGTATGAGTCGCCTTTGGTGACTGCTTATGTGAATTATCAAAATTACCATTTTCTCCCCCTTTTTGTCATATCAAAAAGAAAATCTTTAAGAAAAACTTTAAGACAGAAAAAAATAACGGAGGAAAAACAATAAAGGATAAGATAAATTCAGCCAGAAAAACAAATCATTCAGATGCATTAATCAAGATAATCCAGAAGCAAACAGATAACACATAAAGTGCAGAAAACAACAAGGAAAACTAAGAAGGACGAGAAGCCAACATCCTCAGAAGATTCATTATCTCAGATGTGGATTCGTCTTATTTTGCCATTCATGTCTTGATTTCTTCAGTTGTTTGTTCTTGCTTAACCATCCAAGATTTGATTTCAGAGTTACCGGCCTTGAGTTCAGCAATCTGAGCCTGCAGATCTTCGTCTTCTTTCTTCACGTCAGATGACTCTGGAGCAGATGCAGAAGCAGAGGCATCGTGAACAACCAAGGATGCAGAAGCATTTCGAACGACCATGTTAGCAGGTTGAGCAGAGTCAAGAGTCTCAAAAGTAGGAGCAGAAACTTCTGGAGCTACTACTTTAGAGCGAACTACTTCAGCAGTCGCAGAAGCAACCAAGACTTCAGAAGGAATACACACGTCCTTTGCAGGTGTGTTTTCCAGAAGCAATGTTGGGTTTCTGCCGACTCTCAAAAGAGTTTGTCTAACAACCTCAGAAAATCTGACCTTGGCATCGTCAGTGCAAATCTCTTGAAGATTGGAAGCTACAGAGTCAAATCTAGATCTAAATCTTTGCCAGATAGCCTCAGAATCATCAGGATTCAAACTGGACATGCATTCCTTCTTGACAGTCAATAACCACATGTTTAATTCTTTTTCAAAACCAGCAAATAATGTACCAACATCCAGCCTAGGTTTAGGTTTAAGATAGGTTTCTAGTGAAGGTGTTTTGGTGGTTTCAGAAGTTGAGGGTATGGAAAAAGAAGGGATATAAATGACAGGTGGGTATGAAGAAGATGGAGTGAGGACAGATGATGTTTTAACAAACTGAGGTTTGGAAGGTGCTGGTTCATATGATAAATCTTCATTATCAGGGTCAGATGGGATGGAAGCAACAGGTTTGAGAATAGATGAAATGAAATCTGATCTATCAGAATCTGTGGATCAAATGAATCTGAAGAATCAAAAGATTCAGATGATCCAGAGGGTACGGGATAGACAATCATAAGAGGTTGAAGATCAAGAACCATTGGTTTAGGATCAGATAGAGTGGTTTCTAGTTGATGTTGTTTAGAAGTTTGTGTTTCAGGTGGGGGAATTTCAGAAGTTTGGTTTACAGAGAGTGTTGGTTCAGAAGTTTGAGGAGCAGAAGTTGGGGTTTTATCAGGAGTGTTTTCTTATGTATGTTGAATGAAGGTGTGGATGGTACAAATGATTGTGGTTCAGATGGTTGTGGCTGTTGGTGTTCAAAAGATTTCTTTGGTTGAGGTGTAGAAGGAAGTGGTTGAGAATTTTGTGGTTCAGATGGAATGGGTTCAGAGTCGTGAGGAGAAGGTGAGGGAATAGGTTCATAAGGAGGAGGTTCAGATGTTAGTACTTCTTTGACTGTTTCTAAAATAGAATCTAAACTAGCAGAAGCAGGGTTACCTTTCTGTTTCTTGACACGCTTTGGCTTTGCAGCAGATGCTTCGCCAAAAGCTTTCCTTTTGGGCTTAGAAGATCCTTCTTCTGAGACCTTTCTTTTCTTCTTCTGTCTCTCCCCATAGAAATCAAGTTCAGGTTTATCTGCTCTTTGGATCAGATGTTCTGGTATAGGAGTTCCATCTGCTAGACAATCTGCTATGTAAGCCAAAATAATTTCCCTTGGTTCATTAGCATGAAACAATGGAAAACCATCTACTGGTATCCTTCTCTTGCTTACTTCTTCAAAGTGATCTGATCAGGTGCAGAAGTAAGTTCTTCTACAATTCTCATTCTCTGCAAGCTTTTGCCATTCAGAGGTTTTCCAACCAATGAAGCTAATTCTTCTTTCATACCAGCTTCTGTCAGATGACCAACTAAGCCATTCTCAGTCAGAATATCTGAGATGAGTCGTCTCATAGGTATCCAATTTCTCATCTTTTGATGCTTGGTTCTGACTTCTTCTCTAGATTGTTTCACATGAGTCCATAGATGATTGAATAACAAGTAAGGCAGATCCACTTTGATGCCTTTACCTAAGCAATACATGAAGTACATCTGATCAGAGTTGATGTAATCAGGAGAATTTGTAGACTTTCTGTGATGAATGCAACCCAGAATGATCTTAGCCCAGATCTTGTATTGAACTTTCAGATCCTTTATCTTACTGGAAGCTTCCCCAGAAGTAAACACTTCACTGTACACTTCATCCATATCCAGACGATTGGCTGGCAGATGAGTAACACCATCTGATTCTTGATACCCTATCAGTTTGCGAATTAGATCTTCAGTGACAATGATCTCTTTGCCCAGAACTGAAGACATGATGAACTTTGGGAAAACACTTGCATGAATCCAAAATTCTTTAACCAAGCAAGGGTAAACTGGACCAACCAGTCTGTCAAAGTACTTTGTCCATCCTTGTGATGACACAATTGAACGTAAATAAAACCCATTTTCAGCGATGCTTTCAAAATCCACCAAGAATTCACTCAAAACTTCCAATTGTTCAATGGGTGTGAGGAGAGTTCTAATTGGTTCTTTGAATGGAGTAGGACCCATTGCAGAAGAAGAAACAACAACCATAGTTGATTCAAGTTGTTGAGATGTTGAAGAAGAGGTTGCCATTGTTGAAGAAGTGAGATAACGAAAGCTTCTTTGGGTTTTAGGTTTGGAGGAGATAAAGAAACAATGAAGCAAACAGAAATGCATACACGATGTGAGAGAGAGAGAGTGAAAAGTGTGAGAAAGTGTTGTGCTGTGGC